ATATTTAATATGAAAACAAAATCACAGATACAAAATAAAAATTAAATGAATGATAAACTTAACTTATTTTTAAAAATAAATTAAGTATAATATTAAATTTTTATATTGTATCATGATTTTTTTTCTTCATATTAAAAATTTTCTGACACTGAAGCCCGGTGAATAAATGTACAAGGTATAGAAATCGATTTTTTATACTCACTTGGCTATTTCTTTGTGATATTTATTGTACTACACTCACCATAACAGAAAATATTATATTAAAACATTTAACACACAAATTTATAAAAGTACATCATTAGTTATTTTCATACAATTTATTTTCCGAAAATAATGTGTTGAGTTGGTATCAATATATTTTACTAGTTGAGAAGCTCATTTTGCTAGTTACATTTTTAACAACTAGCACATTTTAGCAATAGGTTGCTAGTGGCTGAAAAAGTAAATTTCTAGCCCTGAAAAAGGACATTAAAGAAAAGTCAAAAAGAAAAGTCAAAAAGAAATTGTTCAGCCATATAAAAGTAAAGCAATCTTAAACTTAAAAAAAAAATTAAAAGCAATCTTAAACTAAAAAAAAAAAAAAAAAACTTAAGGCAAAATAAAGTGATGCAAACAATCACACGAACAATTATACAAACACCATACAAACGTACATGAAATACACATACAGTACATAAGACATAAGTACATATACTGTATATCCATATACAACTGTATACCCAGTCACATGACTGTACCGTACTCACAATTATAAATATAAAGACATACAGTACATTCTGTACTCTATACTACACCACTTATCACACAAGAAGCACTATATGTATCAGGCCAGATAACACAGATGCACATAAAAGTAAATCAAAAGTCATAAAGTAATACAGGACTAAAATCAAAAACATTCATTTCCTTTTTTGATCTCATTTCTCTTTTTCCATGCCCTTGTAGCATACCTTTTACAAAATTTGTCAAATTTTTCTTCAATTTCTTTGTTTTTACTTCGATCGTGCTGTACTGGGTATAAAAAAAGTACCTACAACCGTCAGTGTGCGTCCTACGCAGGCGTGACGTTTTTACGAAAGGGAGTACGCTCTCTTGTTCTATTTATCTCTTTGCAGAAAGTTACGACATAACATGTCAAAATGAAACGAAAGCTGGGGCTTCCCTCCGTCCCAAGACTAAAGAAAAACGCTGCCCCATATAAAAAAAGAAAAGGAAACAACGGGAATGGAAAATAAAAGGACGTAAAACGCCAGAGAAAACAGGTAAGTCGACGTTGGTTCGGTCGGACAGGTCGCCGACCTTTCTGCCTAGCACATCGTTGGCGTCATGTTTACTACTGTACCTAGCAACAAAAGCTAGCGTACTAGGCCTAGGCTAGTACTACAGTGAGTAGTTTATGAAATTGTATCCCTAGTAACGTCGTATGTTTATGTAACATTTTAAATATATTCCTCAGTGATTCTTTTGCAGTTGATAAAAGGCCTATGTACTGTATTGGAAAATTATAAACTTCAATTCTCAACATACCTATCTAAGCCTATAGCCTACATAGGCCTAGGCCTATAGCCTAAATAGGCATAGGCCTATAGCCTAAATAGGCATAGGCCTATAATAAGGCCACCACTACCTATACTACTCTACGCCTACCAATTTAACTGTTCCCTGGGTGGGTGGGTCCTACTTATCAAGAGTACTTGGCTTTGGTAGTGAGATTAGAGGCTAACCTAAAAATATAGGCAGACCTATGTTATCATTAATATTAGATGCCATAGACTATGCATGCTATGTCAGAACTATTGCGATATTATATAATTAGGTCAATTCCTATTAGTATTATTTTTTTTTTTCAATATTCTAGTATGTTGAAAACATATTAGAAGATATTAGGCAGAAAAGTGAGGAAGGTGAAAGCACATTGCCAGTACCAACAATTTAAAATGCATCATCTCACTTAGCCTTGTTTGTTAAGAATATCAGCAGAGCAGAAACTTGCAGGTATTAATATTACTTATTTGTATGTACTCCTTTCTCAGTCTACCAACTCATACTTATTTATTATATTATAGTTGCTTAATATATAGGCTATTATTATTATTATTATTATTATTATTACATCTATGTACTAAGTTTGTAATTCAGATAAGTATGATTTTTTTTTTTTAAATCTACATGTATATTTTACTATTATAGGATAATTCAAAAACATCCACTACAAAGTGCAGAAAAAAAGGACAAAGTCTAAACGCTCAATGCGTGTGCAAGTTGGCTCAAAAATGTGTACCAAAGGTAAAATTCTTATTTTATATTTTTATTTTCTGATATTGTTAAATGCAGCAGTTTAAATACCTGCTGCATGATTAATAAACATACCGTAGTAACTTTAATATCAATAAAATGCCCTTTTTAAAATAAAAATAAATGATAATTTTTGGAAATTCAAAAGTACTAAACATTGTCTTCTGTTTACAGAAACTCAAACTGACCCCCAAATCACTGGAGTTGATTTGCCCTTTACAGAGGTACCACCAAGTGGTAACTCAATTTCTGCAGAACCAATCACTGCAATACCAGTAGGCACATCAACTCCCAATCAAAGCGAGGAGCTCTTCACCTTGTGAGAGTGATCATCATGCAAACAACTTTGATAGAACTTTCAATCCAGACAACACATATCTTTCGTCATCATTTATGTAAGTTAACAAGGAATTACAAATAGTAGTTCTAGGAATTTATTGTCATGTATTTACTGTATATTATTACAACAAGGTACAGCCAACCAAAAATCAAAGAAATAGCTGCTGGAAACCCGGTTGTTATCAGCCTCTATCCTTTTCTCAGGATCCTGTGTCAGAAAGACGCTGAATGCTCTTTCGCATATTAATGTATGCGTTATTACTGAAAGAAAATTTTATTGACACCAACAACAGTATTTACAGCCAGCCACAATGCAGGTGTGGAAAAAGGAAAAGGCAAAACATAATGGGCAAAATAAGAACACTTGGGGCACCAGTTATCCTAGGTGGTCATGCAAGAGCTGATAGCGTAGGCCATTGTGCAAAATATGGGTCATTCACTCTCATGGATCTCAACAGAAACAAAGTGATTGACATACAACTTGTACAGGTAATGATATATTGTCAGTCATATTATTTGATTAACTACACTTTGATTGTCATAGCTTTACTAGGCCTAGCCCTATGTATGTTCTTTTTTTTTGGTTACCAGAAAAATATGGTAGGTGGCACATTAGCTCACCCCGCCCTCGATAAACTAACGTTAGGGTTATCTCACTATATTAATTGGATTAACACATTATCAAGGATAAGTACTGAGTGTTTAACACTGGTGTCCTTGGATTCAATTATAGGTAAACGGATTAGTTGCCCTTTTTATGAGGTTTTAATTGTTGTTTACCGCCGAAAGTGCGGTATTCTAACGTTAGTTTATGGAGGGCTGGTCGGCCTAATGAGCTATCATATGGAACTAGGTCTTAAGTTGGGAGTGGCTGCAAATGAAATTGAGCAACTAAAAATCCAAGCTCTTGTGACTGAGAGGCATACACAGGTTGCAAAATGGATCAGAGATAACCTAAAAGACATTCAACATTATTATGATGTGTGGCATGTTGCTAAAAGTAAAGCATATATCTACTTGTTTGCTCTAATTACATTTATAATTTGGCCTATAGCTATTTAATAATTATAGGCATGGCCTAGGCCGTAGGCTGCCCTTACAGGTAATAAATATGATTATTTATAGGCTTTTGTGGGGTTAGGACAGGTTTCTATCTCAGTTAATATGCAATTGTTCTGTAGTTAGGTATAGGCCTATGGCTAAATACAGTATAAACAAAAATAAGGTCTAGGCCTAGCCTATGTTAGCTAGATAAAAAAAAAAATGATGTGACTGCTTACCTTCTGAGGCCTGGTGCTGTATTCATCTATTCTAAGCTAGCCTCTTCTTTTAGTCTTTTTGCCTACACTCTGTAGCTATCCTAGGCCTAGTATAGAGATTTGCTAGGTCTCTATAGATTCTTATACTACTCGAGATACTATATAGGACAAAGTGGACATACGTACCATTCACTCGCTGGTGGAATTCACTTGCTAGTGGTAGGTTGTAGTACTGTATAGGTATCTCTTTCCATTTTTCATCTGTATCTCAAGTCCCAAGTTTCTTCTCCTCCTGGATTTCCCCCGGTGATTGGCTGCAACGTATAGATTACGTCATTCACAACCAATCACCGGGGCAGCGGCACATCACTCGTCCCACTCTTATTTTTTTAGAATTCCTTCTCCTGCCTTCCTCATCACAGTTGTTGTTGTTTTTTTTTTTTTTGTTGTGTTTTTTTTTTTTTTTTTTTTTTGGTGAAAGAGAAAATACCAAGAACCGATAAAAAAAAATGGGGTTGTGGTGAATCCCATAATTTCGAAAAAGGATGCCAATAGGGAACGATGAAAGTCCCGAAGCAGTATTGCTAGCGGGGCCGGCTCCTATGGGTAAACCGGCCGCCACAGCCGCTAAAAATGCGAAGGTGGGGAACATAAATGTTCCAACCAACATTCCACACAAAAATAATCCCAGTGGGAAAAGCAGCACTATAGAAATACAACTTAAACGCCCAGGATAAATTTGAATATCCCAATTGGGTCTTGGATTTTAAAAACAAGACAAGCCAACCTGCCCGAAAACAGTAGCTGCTCGAGAATAGAACATTGGCGAATGAGAGGACTAAAGGTCCAACCTACAACAGGGAGGCCATGGTGAACCTCCAATTTTGGGGTGTGGAGGCAATTTGTCCTCCACAAGCTTTTGGTGAGCAACTGAAAGGAAGATGGGGGGAGGTGGTGCAACAATAATGGAATCATGGAATCACTTTTTTTTTTTTTTAACAATAACTCCAATGAACAATAAAAACATGAACTCTAGAACAACAACGGCCATTAGAAATGGCAAAAAAAAAAACAGGAACTTTTTTTTGTGTTTTTCTCTTGCTACTGCAGGGCCGGTTCCCACAGAAACAGTGGCCACCCCAGCGGTACTCACAGACGATCCGGAGGCTAGAGCGGATTGCCCGAGAGCTCAACCAACACCGCAGATTGTCGAGGGCAAGGCTCAGTACCCAAACCGCCCGCTCTCGGCTCTCACAGCTTCTAGACGCCGCGACCGCTCTGTGGAGGCGTTGGTGGCTGTTATACACCTCTCGCAGCGCTGCTGTTACCTCATCCTCCACCGGTAGTTGAACAGGCGCTTGCCTGAGTGGGGCCTGAGACCCGACCACGGGCGAAGCAGCACCGGTGGCTGAATAGGTGACAAACCCTCGACCGACGGCTATGCCCCCCGTGAAGGGTGTCAGAATCCGCCCACGACCGCTGTCTGAACCAACCACCGATGCGGAGGCTAGAGCGGATCGCCCAAGAGCTCAACCAGCACCGCAGATTGTCGAGGGCAAGGCGCAGTACCCAAATGGCCCGCTCTCGTCTCTCACAGCTTCTAGACGCCGCGACCGCTCTGTGGAGGCGTTGGTGACTGTTATACACCTCTCGCAGCGCTGCTGTTACCTCATCCTCCACCGGTAGTTAAACAGGCGCTTGCCTGAGTGGGGCCTGAGAACCGACCTCGGACGAAGCAGCACCGGTGGCCGAATAGGTGACAAACCCTCGACCGACGGCTCTGTCCCCCGTGAAGGGTGTCAGAATCCACCCACGACCACTGTCTGAACCAGCCACCGATGTAGGTCGGGTCGCGCTGCTGCGCTGTGACGCGACGTCGGCAGCGTCCAGCTCACCGTAACCGCTGCTACGCTTGCGCCAGCAGACGTTACGCTGCTGCGATGCGCCGTCGGCAGCGTCCCAGCGACCAGAGCTGCTGCTGCACTCGCGTCAACAGACAACCGAACCGGCACCGGAGGCTTTGCCGTGGCAACACCCGCAACTGCGGCAGCAAAGCTTGCAGGGCCGGCTCCCGCAGGAGTATGGGTCGCTGCGACTGGGACATCCCGGAATCGGATATCCCGGCTTCCAAAACCTGAGGCCGGCTGACGTTCAGCCACAAAGTGGCTTAGGGCAATTCCCATGGCAGTTGGTTTACCCGATGTGGCCTGCCACGGGATCGAACAGGTGTAAATGCCCTGCTTGTCCGGACTGGCCATCACCGTGGCGGGCCAACTTGCCCCTCCCAGGCCGTCGCACCAACGGGCGTACCGGCTAAGGGGTCTCACCCCGGTCCCCGATCCGTATGAGAAGTGTGGTGGTCCACTCCTCCTGATGGACCTTGGCCTTAAAAACCCCACGGTCATCAAGGGGCCCTGACTGGTCAGGGTCACATCTTCCCAAAAGGAAAGAGTGGCCGCTGATGCTTGCTGAGGGGGTAGTGGGGGTCCTAGGGTGATTGTCGAGGGCAAGGCGCAGTACCCAAACCGCCCGCTCTTGGCTCTCACAGCTTCTAGACGCCGCGACCGCTCTGTGGAGGCGTTGGTGGCTGTTATACGCCTCTCGCAGCGCTGCTGCTACCTCATCCTCCACTGGTTGAACAGGCGCTTGCCTGAGTGGGGCCTGAGACCCGACCACGGGCGAAGCAGCACCGGTGGCCGAATAGGTGACAAACCCTTAATAGGTGACAAACCCTCGCAGCTCTGCCCCCCCCCCCGTGAAGGGTGTCAGAATCCGCCCACGACCGCTGTCTGAACCAACCACCGATGTAGGTCGGGTCGCTCTGCTGCGCTGTGACGCGGTGTCGGCAGCGTCCCGGCGCACTGGAACCGCTTCTACGCTCGCGCCAGCAGACGTTACGCTGCTGCGTTAAGCTGCTGTGATGCGCTGTCGGCAGCGTCCAAGCGACCAGAGCAGCTGCTGCGCTCGCGCCAGCAGACAACCGAACCGACACCGAAGGCCTTGCCGTGGCAACACCCGCAACTGCGGCGGCAAAGCTTGCGGGGCCGGCTCCCGCAGGAGTACGGGCTGCTGCGACTGGGACATTCCGGAATCGGATATCCCGGCTTCCAAAACCTGAGGCCGGCTGACGTTCGGCCACAAAGTGGCTTAGGGCAATTCCCAGGGTAGTTGTAAAGCAGGTGTAAATGCCCTGCTTGTCCGGGCTGGCCATCACCGTGGCGGGCCAACTTGCCCCTCCCAGGCCGTCGCACCAACGGGCGTACCGGCTAAGGGGTCTCACCCCGGTCCCCGATCCGTATGAGAAGTGTGGTGGCCCACTCCTCCTGATGGACCTTGGCCTTAAAAACCCCACGGTCATCAAGGGGCCCTGACTGGTCAGGGTCACATCTTCCCAAAAGGAAAGAGTGGCCGCTGATGCTTGCTGAGGGGGTAGTGGGGGGTCCTAGGGTGATGAAGGGGGTCGTACCAACAGGAGGTCCTCGGCCTCCCCTATCTGCAAACCCTCCATGGCTGGAAGGTGGCTCCCACAGCTGCTGGCATTTTAGTACCTGCCTGAGGGCCAGCCCCCGTAGGAACTGACTCACCAGATGGTTGGTCCTGGGGTGGGGGCTGGTGAGGGGACTGGGCCTGCCTCGCCCACCTCCATAGGCTCCTCTGCCTTCTTTTTGGTCATTATCTGTAAGACATAATAATTAAACAGTAGGTAAGTGAGGGTGCGCCTCCGTGGGTGACTGTCCAGCAGGTGATTGATAAACGGCCGGGAAAGGGGCAGCTGCAGCTG